TTAAAAGGCTGTAGAGATTTTTTTCTCCCCTTCTCGGAAGGAGAAAAAGCAAACACAGAAAAAGCAGAAATTTAGTTTTACCTGTACAGGTCACACATTGTAAAACCCCAGAATTCTTTTATCTTTTCTTTTCTTGACACTTTTATTCCTCAGGCATCCAAACAGGAATTGTCCCAGGACTGATTCTCTATATTCTGATACTGTTCATATCACCCATTTGGTAGGAAACTGGACCTGTCAGTACCACAAATCAGGGATGTGACATTCCCACTTTCAAAATAGCCGGGTAGGTTCTCACAGTGTACCAAGGAAGGGTTGCACACCTGAGATGGAAAATATATACAGATGGCCTCTCTTGTGCATGAGTCTCAAATCTATACAGATTCCATCTAGCACAGATAGAAAGTATTCTGAAAAAAACGAATCTGCATTTTTCTTGTCATTACTCTCTAGACATTACAGTATAAGCTGACAGAGCATTGACATGTGTGTTGGATATTAGAAATAATACAGAGGTAATTTAAAACATCTAGTGGAAGACATGCATCGGCTATATGCAAATACTACAACATTTTACTTAAGGGACTTGAGTGTGGTCTGATTTTGGTATCTATAGGATCCTTTTGGGAACCTGGACACTGGATCACAGTAAGCCAATTACATGTTCTAGGGGACACTCGGTGCCCCCTGAAACATACTCCTTCTAATTCTAATCCCCATTTAGTCTTCCCAGGTTGAAGGGTAGGCACTAATAAAAACAGGTTTTTAGCCTCAGTACCCTATGCTAGGAAAACTTTATAACCAAGAACAATAGAATCATGATTATACAGTCCAAACGGATCTGCATAAAACTTATTAAGTGTTATAGACAATGTATGAAAATTATACTTAGATGACACACAAAGACCCATCCCATTATAAATGAAAACTATTATCACAAGATAAGCAAATCCAATAGTAAGCATAGAGGTTACATGGTTTGGTTACAAGGTTCCATGTCACAAGCAAGTGTGGGCCCTGAGAAAGCCTTGGAGACCCCTCCCATCTCCTCCTGGATATCCCTCCCCCCCCCTTCTCTTCCTCAGATGCGTACTCTATCCAAAGGCTTCTAACCCTGGATGTTCAAAATCTGCCCTCATCTTCATTAAGGACCTATTGATTGAGCCTATCATTAAATTGATTAAAACAAGTGGAATAAAAGGAGGAATATTAACAAAGACTATGTTATCATTCAGGCAAATCATGCCGATCCTCAGATTCCAATTAACCTTTGTGGCCTGTCCACTGCTTTTAGATAAACACTACTAATCCTCACCAGGAAGTACAAGCTCCTACACGGGTTATCACTCTCATCACCAGGTCTTGCCCTTCTATACTGAAGGTCTACCAGCCTCTGCTCTTCAGAATGCAACCTGCACTTACTGTTCCCTCTTCCTGTAACATTCTGTCCTCTGCACCCTGTCCTGAAATCCTACAACTCAAATGTTGCTAACAGGAAGTTTTTCTGACCTCTCAGTGAAATGAAGCCCCTATTTATTTTCTCTCATGTCTCTCTGTAAGTATACAGACTCTTACTCTTTCCATCATCTCTGTCCAGATCTCCCTCTGCCTCTATCTTCTATAGACTTGGGTGACTTCAGAGCACCACTGAGTCATGCTTATAATCCTAACTGCTCAGGAGGCTGAGATGTGAGGGCAGGGGTTCCAAGCCAACTCAAGTGGGAAAACCCAGGAGACTCTTATCTCCCTTTAATTAACCACCAAAAAGCCTGAACCGAGCATCTACCTTGAATGGAAAAAGTTAAGGGACAACATCCTGAGTTCAAGTTCAAACACTCGTGGGAGGAGGGGGGAGCGCCCCGGGTGATGGAACTTAAGAGGTAGTCCAGATGGTCCTGGATCATCTCTCCATCACATCAACTCACATTTACTTATGGCTCTTTGATTAACACCTGCCTGTTCCACTAAAGTAAAAGCTCAAGGCAAAACACTGGCCTTTTTCCACTTGCCATATTTTTTCCTCAGTAATACAGAGAGACCATGCTCTCAAATAGCTGCTGAATGACTGCTGGATAGTGCTCAAGAAGAAGGTCCCAGCATGAAAGGCTGAGCAAGTCAATGCCTCATGAATCACGAAAGCAGAAACAAGAGCTCTCCAGAAAACAGGATCCCTTGGCCAACAAGCTGGAAATGTTGAGACCTTGAGTTCATGTAGTGCACAGACATTGAACTTCCTGCCCACAGTTCAGCTGAAAGCCATCTAGATGAAGTTTTTATCATAGATTTTTTTTGGGGGGGTCCAATCATGGGGCTTGAACTCTGGGCCTGGGTGCTGTCCCTCAGCTCTTCAGCTCAAGGCTAGCGCTCTACCACTTGAGCCACAGTGCCACTTAGATGAAGTTTTTAGAAAGGGCCTTCTGGAGATAGTTTACAGATTAGGAAATGTCTAGATTAGACAAAAATCTAACCCTGGAACAAGGCTTTTATTGTTGTTGTTGGTTTCTGGATCAAGCTGTCTTTGACCAAAGAAAAGTTTTCACAATTATAGGCTATCCAGTTTCAAAGGAAGAAAGAAAGAAAGAAGAAAGAGAGAGAGAGAGAGAGAGAAAGGAAGGAAGGAAGGAAGAAAGGAAGGAAGAAAGAAAGAAAGAAAGAAAGAGAGAAAGGAAGGAAGGAAGGAAGAGAGAAAGAAAACGAAAGAGAAAGAGAAAGAGGTAAAGGAGCGAGAGAAAGAGAAAGAGAGAGAAAAAGAGAGAGAAAGAAAACATTGTAAGTAGAGAATGGGGGTTAAAAGGAATGCCACAAAGAAGGGTTATTGGGATGATGTTGCTAAACATAAAAATTTAAACAAAATAAGATCAATTTTATGTAACATAGTATCTATAGTTAATAGAAATGTACTGTACACTTAAAATCTGTAAACTGATTTTAAATGTTCTCAACACACACAAAAGCACTATTGAGGTAATGGATACGCTAACTTGATTTATGCCATTTCACAATGGATACTCATTTCAAAAAGATCATGTTATATACCATAATATATTCAATTTTTGTCAATTAAAAATAAGTTGTAAAACAAGTGACCACAAACTGGGTGTCTTAACACAGCATTCTGGCTCAGTCCTATGGGGTCAGAGGTTCTAAACCAAGGTATCAACAAAGCTGGAGATATCCTCTGAAGGATTTCTCACAGCTTCTGCTGGCATTCTTTGGCTTGTGGACTCTTCACTGCAATCTCTTGTCTCTGGACACAGTGCTTCATCCTACCCTAGATCTGTGTCAAAGCTCCGCCTTCCTCTTACAATGTCATTTGTAATGGAAAATACACGGCTATTTTCCATCTCAAAATTCATACTCTCCTCGGTGCCGATGGCTCATACCTGTAATCCTAGCTACTAAGGAGACTGAGATATGAGGATCATGGTTCAAAGCCAACCTGGGCAGGAAAGGCCATGAGACTCTTATCTCCAAAAAACCACTCAGAAACCAGAAGTGGTGCTGTGGTTCAAGTGGCAGAGTGCTAGCCTTGAGCTAAAGAGCTCAGGGACAGCACCCAGTCCCAGAGTTCAAGCCCCACAACCGACCAAAAAAAAAAAAAAAAAAACCCACTCATATTCTCATTCTTACAAATAAGGCAAGATACACAAATTTCAGGAATTACAGAAAAACAGGAGGAAAAACTCCAAAGCATCTGGCAGTGGTTAATTTTAATTGTATATAGTAGAGCCACTCTCTTCCACTTAATACAGAATGCCTTTCTTGCATCATTTAATTTTTTGTAAAAATTTAAAGGTGATTTGGACAAAGGGAAAGATTTTTTTTTTTTTTTTTGCCAGTTGTGGACCTGAACTCTGGGCCTGGGCGCTGTCCCTCAGCTCTTCAGCTCAAGGCGAGTGCTCGACCGCTTGAGCCCACAGCACCACTTCCGGCTTTTTCTGTTTATGTGGTGCTGAGGAATCGAACCCAGGGCCTCATGCATGCAAGGCAAGCACTCTACCACTGAGCCACCTTCCCAGCCCCCAGGGAAAGATAATTGAAAAGTTACATCCATGGATCTATTTTTAGGCATACTCAAAATTTTACAACTGCCTTGAAAAATGCTAGCGTTTGTGCTGGAAATACAAATATTTCCAACACCCTCATATGCCTTCACATGACCTCGCTGATAACAAGAATTGGTTTAAAAAAAAGTAAAAATGGAATCACCAACTGTAAAATGACTATTGACCACTGAAAGAAGAGGTTATAGGTTTTATTTCCAAAATAATGTCTCTGATAAATTACATAGGTCTCTAGGCATTCACACAAGTGAGGCAAGAGAAGGATATTCTTAGGAAAGTATCACAAAAGCACAAGAGCTACATGCACTTGGTCATCATATAAAATCGTATTTATCAGGCTGGGAAGATGGCTCAGTGGTAGAGTGCTTGCCTAGCATGCATGAGGCCCTGGGTTCAATTCCTTAGCACAACGTAAGCAGAAAAGGCTGGAAATGGCACCATGGCTCAAGTGGTAAAGCACTAGCCTTAAGCTGAAGAGCTCAGGGACAGAGCCCAAGCCCAGAGTTCAGGCCCCACAACCCATTAAAAATATATATATATCAAAATGAACTCCAGGCAATAGAAACAAGAGGGTTTTGTTGCTGCTGTTGTTGCTGTTTTTGTTTTCTTTTTCTTTTGTCTTGTTTGTTCTTTTATCTGTATTTGGGAGAGTAACGGCGGGGAGAGGGGGGAGGGGGGAGGTACAGAAATGATGGGACAAAGGGTGAACAAATACAGCAGTGATACTCACCAAACACTATATAACTATAACCCCTCTGTACATCACCTTTACAATAACAATAAATTTAAGAATAAATAAATAAAACGTCTCATTAGCAATAGGTATAGAAAAATACTATGAGCAGATGGGAAGGTATGTATTTAATAAAATCATTAAGCAGAAGAAAGTTGTTTTGAATTTTAAAAATTTAAGTAGGAAGTAAAAAATAAACATACCCATCCTTGGTCTGATCCACCACACCACTTAAAAGTTCCACAGTCTTTGGATTAGGCTGGCTTTCTCCAAAAATATTCAAATATCGTGTGACGAAGTCATTGGGAGACATAAAAAATTCACCATTTCTTTCAATGCTTGCATACTGTTAAAAAACAGTGGTAGATATAGTTATATATTTGATTTTCAAAAGTATATTATCATGAGATCAATATGTAAAATAGCTAAAAATATGCATAGGATAAAACATTAGCTATGACAATGCATTCTTCATAATAGCAGCTAGCTTCCTTCACTTCAAGAAAAACAAAAACACAGAGAGCTTGTCAAGCCTTATACTAATCAATGGCTCTCAACTGTAGGCAATATCCCACAGGGGACATTCGCAAATGTCTGATAACCATTTTCACTGCTATTAACTCGATGGTAAAGGATGCTCCTGGCATACACTGGATACTTCTTACAACAGAGGTATCTAGCCCAAATATGAACATGCTTAAGCAAAAATCTGGCTTATAAAAATTTAGAAAAATGATTTCTTGTTTCTTAGTTGTCTAGTTTTTCCTTTCTTCTTCCCCACTCCCAGTCCCTGCCACTCCTCCTGCCCCTTCTGTCTTTTTCTCTGAGACTGAAAAATTCAAGTTTTCTAGTCCACTGATTTTTTCATCTGTAAAATGTATAAAAAAGTATTGCTAGTTCCATTAGGTTGACGCTTGAAATAATTGAGATAACTATGTGATCTCCTTAGCAATGCCCTACACATAGTAAGTGCTATATAAATTTTCTATAATACCAGAGACAAGAATGCAATGAATGAACAGTTTCACAGTACCAGCTACAGATCCTGGCCACACTATCTAATGGAGGTTGATGGCTATCAACTAACACTTATTAGCATAATGAAAGATGGCCCAATAATCCCACAATCCTCAGTTACCAATTAACATGGTTTAGGGGGATATGTAGAAGAAAGAACATATTTTGATTTTCTAAATGAGGCAAAACATTCAAGTAAAACTATGTCAATGCTAATTACAGCAATCCCGTTATTTAGTTATGCGTACGTTTCCTTATGGTAATGATTAATATATATTAAATCACGATTTCTCCTACCAGCAGACATTTAGATTATATCCAGTTTCAGATTCTTTTAGCCTAACCTAAGATAGCCATTTTTATATATAACGTTTGTCCAAATTCCTGGCAATTTTCAAAAGCTAGAGTCCTGAAAAAGAAATTGTTGAGTCAAAGGAGAGGAACTTTAAGGCTCTTGGTACTTATTATCACACTACTCTCCAAAAAAGATTGTACCAATTTACACTCCCACCAACAGTGTAAGAACATGACCCTTCCCCTCCTTTGTCTATCATATTTGTTCAAATATTTTTCCAGGTTGATATTTTTATATAAATGAATCTATAGAATTTTTCCCTTGCAATTTCTTCTACTACACGTATATGCTTAAGAAAAACATTCTGCATTTCAAGACTACTTGGTCACACATAGGTTCTCTTAGGTTGTATAAAGTAGGTCTATTAGTACTTTTTTGTGTGTGTGGTTAGAGGTAAGGATTCTCCAACTTCAGTCTTTTCCATTATTGGTTTTGCCACGATCCCAAACTAAATCATTCTTCCCTACGCTTTAGGATGCATGTTTTCTCACACAGTAAGCTTAACTGCAGGCTTATTACACATGGTCTGACCAAATGTGGTCAAATAACTTAATAAATAAGGTCATAATAAATGGCTCAATCCTCCAGGCATTGGTGGCTCACACCTGTAATCCTAGCTACTCAGGAGGCTGAGATCTTAGGATCCTGGTTCAAAGATCTTAGGATCCTGGTTCAAAGGCAGCCCAGGCAAGAAAGTCTATGAGACTCTCCAATTAACCACTAGAAAACCAAAGTTGAGCTGTGGCTCAAAGTGGTAGAATGCTAGCCTTGAGCAAAAGAGCTCAGGGACAGTACCCATACCCTGAGTTCAAGCCCCATGACTGACAAAATAAATAAAGTAAGTAAGTAAAAAATAAACAATAGGGCTGTGAAGGTGGCTCAGTGGTAGAGTGCTTGCCTTGCATGCATGAAGCCCTGGGTTCAATTCCTCAGCACCACATAAGCAAAAAGAAAAAAGCCAGAAGTGGCGTTGTGGCTCAAGTGGTAGAGTGCTAACCTTGAGCTGAAGAGCTGAGGGACAGTGCCCAAGCCCAAGTCCACAAGTGGACCCCCCCAAAAAAAAAAGAAAAAGAAAAAAGAAACAAATAAATGGCTAATTCCTTAAATCCTAGCAACTAGAGGCTGAGATCCAACGGATAATAGTTCCAAGCTTGGGCAGGAAACTCTATCAGACTCCATCTCCAAATAACCAGCAAAAAGCTGAGGTGAAGGTGTTGCTCAAGTGGTAGAGAATCAGCACAGTAAGAAAGCAGAGTGTGAAGTACTAAGTTACTAAGTTCAAATATCTGTATTGCCCCAAATAATAATAATGATAGTAACAGAAAAAAAATTCAAGCAGGGCACGGGTGGCTCACGCCTGTAATCCTAGCTACTCAGGAGGCTGAGATCTGAGGATCATGGTTCAAAAGCCAGACCGGGCAGGAAAGTCCATGAAACTCTTATCTCCAATAAACCACTAGAAAACTGGAAGTGGCGCTGTAGCTCCAGTGGTAGAGTGCTCGCCTTGAGCTGAAGAGCTGAGGGACAGCGCTCAGGTCCAGAGTTCAAGCCCCACAACCAAAAAAACAAAAAACAAACAAAAAAAATTCAAAACCAAACATTTACCTGTCAATATATATTTTTTTTCTTTTTTTTTGGGGGGGTCCGGTCGTGGGGCCTGAACTCTGGGCCTGGGCGCTGTCCCTCAGCTCTTCAGCTCAAGGCTAGCACTCTACCACTTGAGCCACAGCACCACTTCCGGCTTTTTTCTTTTTGCTTATATGGGGCTGAGGAATCGAACCCAGGGCCTCGAGCATGCAAGGCAAGCGCTCTACCACTGAGCCACCTTCCCAGCCCCAATCAAAACCAAACATTTAAATTCCAGCACATGCTTTATGCAGCTCAGTTAATAAGGAGAAATTCTCAGTGAGTCTTTCATTTTACTATCAATTGTGTTTAAATCACTGTATGGTTTCCCTTCACTTGCTTTCATGAAAATTTGCCTCCAAAAAAAGCAAATGGCACTCCCAAATAGGGTAAAAGTGAATGTGCTTAACTGAAGTGATAAAGTAAAAGTAATAAAGTAAAAGTAAAAGTGATAAAGTAAAAGTTTAGATTTGTTGAATGTCAGCATGAAGCTGGTAGAATTTTGGCAGTGTTAATGGAAAAATGAATAAAGCTTCTGTAGTACAGTACTGAATTCTATTCATCCTGAGCATTGCTTTTCCTTGATAATGGTCTCCTAGGAGCTTTCAGACAGTCACAAGCAAAACCCTTGACAAGCAGGCTCCATCCTCAATACTGATTCTGATGACTTGGCAATAGTTTACCAGAGACAATGAATATTCCGAGGCTGTCTAAATATCTATGGGAGAATGCTGGGGTGACTAACAGTTCTTTTCCACGCTGGGAAATGTCTTAGGACTAAAAAGATAATCCAGTAGAGATAGTTTAAAGGACTATGAAAATCCTCTGCATGGTGGGAGAGGAGAAAAAGAACATGGAATATGGATGGGGGGAGGGGGACTGAGATAGGTTTGGAAGATAAAAGGCCTCTTCTGGCTAAAGGATTGTGGTTCATTCTTTAAATATGTATTTAAACACAACTGTCTGCCAGACTGTTGTTGCCCACAATGGCAACTGCCCCACATTTGTTTCTCATAAACACTGCTGTAACCATACAAGTGGACCCTTTATGCATTCTGACTTAGATTTTATTCTTGCTGTGTACCTGCAAATCTGGTCTCTTAAATTTGAGTTCTTTGAGGCACTATATCATTGCTTATATTTCTACTTATATGTCCAACTCATAGTAGTCTCATAGTTTTTTTAAACTATAAATACTACATATCTGGGGCTGGGAAGTTGGCTCAGTGATAGAGCGTTTGCCTTGCATGCCTGAGGCCCTGGGTTCGATTCCTCAGTATGTATATATATATATATATATGACTACATATCTGTTAAAATTAACATGAAGTAGCACTGAAATCATTATGTAAACAAAATGCACCTGTCAACACTGATACCAGAAATGGAACTGACAACCTACGCTTGGACTTCCACATCCAGATAAAACTTTACCTACAACTTCTCACCAAAACAGCCTACACTGGGGCTGGGAAGGTGGTTCAGTGGTAGAATGCTTGCCTTGCATGCATGAGGCCCTGGGTTTGATTCCTCAGCACCACATAAGCAGAAAAAGCTGGAAGTGGGTGGTAGAGTGCTAGCCTTGAGTTGAAGAGCTCAGGACAGTGCCCAGGCCCAGAGTTCAAGCCCCATGACCAAAACAAAAAAACCAAAGAATGGATAGATAGTCTCACATTTTCCTGTAAACTAATGCTATATAATAATGTTTATCAAATGGATCATGGCTTTTTAATTTCTTATACCAACACACAGTAAGACATTTAAGAGTAGGAGACCTACTCATCTTTATATACTCAACGCTTAATACCATACCTAACATTTTCTAAGCATCTTCAAAAAAAGGTCAAACTGAGTTCAACCACTTTCAAACAAAAAAAATTTACATGCATTCCTTCTAGTCCTCCAGGACCCCTCTTTCCGTACCTACTCAGTTCCATGGCTCTGTCTGACTGCCAGAGCTGACAACCCTTACCTGTCCTTGTACATCTAGTGTAAAGGGCAAAAAACTCTTTTCCCTCCACAAATTATAGGATCTTCCCTAGCCAGCTGAAGAAAAAGACAATTGGGAATTTCACATAGAATTTTTATTAGGACAAAAATCAAGCTGGGAAAAATTCACACACTGGGAAAAATACACACACAGGAAAGCAGCAAAGCAGAGACATTTACAGAATGCTGACTGCTGATCCATCCTTCACTAAAACAACCAGCCTAGCAGCCTCCATGGCGCCTCATTCCCCTTTTTCCCCTTCACCACAACACTTACTGCAGTAGACAGTAAACAAGAAATCCTCCTCATGCTGAGCCAAGGTGGATTTGCGTTGGGCCCACACTATCCAAGCCTAGTGAGGTCATCAGAACCCTTGCCAAATCCACAATCCCTTCTACAAGCTGTGGACGCTGTTTTCTTCAGGTAGCCCCCAGCCCCACCCATTTCCTCAGATCCAAGTCTCTCTCAAGATTCCACACAGCCTTGGGCCCATGTACACAGAAAACCCATAGTTGGCCTGTCCAAAGCTTTACATGGGAATCACATCTTCCATGTGTCTATGTTGGCTAATATAGACTTGCCTGTCACTGGGAATGGATTTAGCAGCTGGCAAAGATGTATCATTCCAAACTAAGTCTTAACAAAGCCTAGCTGATGTCACAGGCTTCTGAAGCTGGATACAGCCTCTACCAGAGCCTCCAAACTGTGAACAAACCAATGAGCATCAAAGCCACACCACCTACTAAGATCCTGCTCCTAAGTTGTTACTTTTTCTGTCAGAAGGATGTTTCACAATCTTACTTAGAAAACTCAAGGAATAATTATGACTTGAACTTCAATGACCCCAAAGCAAGAGTTTTTATCCATTTATCTAACCTCCTTGGCAACCACTGCAAATGTCTTTCAGAATTCCATCATTAGCATCTCACCATATCAACAGACCTTAAACACACCTAACACTAAAATTTTCTATGGGTCCTTCAAACACTTCATCCCAACCATGGTTGGCTGCATATGCACAGCCACAGACAGTTAGAAAAGAAATAAATGCCTTTCTGTTTTCTGGAATTTTGTCATCAAGAATGCTTTTCCATCTAAGAGGGGGGGATTGCCAAAATTGGGGTTTGAACCCAGGTGTCCCTTAGCTTTTTTGCTCAAAGCCAGTACAATATCACTTGAGCCACAGCTCCATTTCCAGCTTTTTGCTGATTAATTGGAGATAGTCTCATGGACTTTCCTACCTGAGATGGCTTTAAACTACGATCCTCAGATCTCAGCCTCCTGAGTAGCTAGGATTATAGACATGAGCCTATAATTCTTTATTGGCATTTCTAGGCAGAAAACAACTTCATAAAGGAATTCTTTTTTTTATATAAAACCCAAACCACCTTATAAATCTGTCTTTTTCTTCCTCCTCTGAAAACTCTTTCTATATTTAATCATTTTCTTTCTAGTATTGGAATTAATTAATTTCAAGTATTTGCTAAATACTTGATACTGAACACTTTCTTGGAAGTTATCTCATTGAATTGTTACTAGTTTTCTAACTTTATTATGAACATATTCAAACCATATCTAATGGTTTATTTTCCAATTTCTAAAAGTATCTGGGTTATTTAAAGGAAAGTGCAGGTATCATTATCTCATCTGTAATTGTTTACCTGTAAAATACAGACTATGTATTTCTCAAAGTCAGAAAGTCATTATCCACAAAAAATATACCATTAATCCAGCCTAAAATCAATTAATTTCAATTCCTTAATATCCAATATCCTATCAATGTTCAAATCCCCTAAAGAGTGTCAACTTTTTTGACAATGATGAGAGTTGAATTCAGAGTCTCCCATACTCTATGCAAATAGTCTATCATAAATGAACATCCCCAAGGTCTCAATTTTCATTGAATATACTTTCCGCCCACTTTGGCAGTACTAAAGTTTGAATTCAGGGTTTCTTCATACTTGCTTGGATGGTGCTTCACTACTTGACCCACACCTCCCATTCAAATTTTTATTATTCGGAAATGGAGTCTCACCAGTTTTTCTGCCTGGCTAGCTTTGATCAGTAATCTTCTGGATCTGCCTCCTGAGTAGCTAGGTTCAAAGGTGTGAACCTCCAGTGACTGATTAATACATCTAAACTTAGAGAAGGAAAATGGAAACCTGAAGAATTAACAACTTTCTACGTCCCAGTCAGCACACATCCAGTTTCTCATGTGACATTTTGATACCTTTTTCCATTTGGCACAGCTGCCTTTTCAGAATGTTTAGAAAAGATCCACATATTCTGTTGTCATTATCTTCAGAAAAGTGGTCTTTTCTTTTTTAAGTACATTAATTTCAGTAAAATAACAAAGTACTTCAGAGTTTGATTCCCTAGGTAGACTTCTATTATACTAATCATTCACTGTCCGCTACTATACAGTAGAAGGAGCAGGAGATACCAAGGAAAGAAGCTGATGTCATACCTGCTGTGCTCTGATATGACATTCACAGTGAGCCTTCCTCACAGGCATCACTGTAATAAGATGACAAAGGCTCTCATGGTAACAACAGTGACATCAGAGACAAACAGGGGAATCCCTCTTGGATGAACAAAGGATGCTTACAAAGAGCTTTAAACTTAGTAGAAGAAAACATTATCATCATCTTATATAGATCAACCATGAAGAGGTAAATGAGTTGCAAAATTAAATCCCCCAGCAACTCCCATTCAGTATGTAGCCTCATGTGAAATGAAAGACATTAAAATATAAACCATGCTGCCATCACAGACGACCGCCTACATATTTTCTGTACATTTTTTTAAAAATTAGAATAGTAAAGGATTCCTTTAAGTTATACACAAAAGGTACTTCTGAGGACTTTTTTTAAATGTAACAACAGAATAATAGTTATCTGAAAGTACCTTTTAATGTTTTAGAACACAAACCAAATAAGAAACAAAATAGATTCCTTTATACTAACCTTCAAAAATATTGTTCTAAGTTCAGATGGCTCTGCTCTCTTGGTTAAAGCCACCTAGAAATAAACATAAAAATGTTTATATTAGCACACAGCTGAAATAAAACTAGCATACTAAAGAAAAATAAACTTCAGGTTAGAAATTAAATCTCAATTTTGTTCTTAAAGCACCAAATTGCCCTAGTGCATAAACGATTCCCCAGATTTTGACTGTGACTCCATCTATAGCCTCTAAAATGATAATATCCTGTGTAAGAAAATAGTAAGTAGTTAAAGTTCTCAATATCTAGTAATACTGAGAAAGTAAACTTGATTGGTAAACACTTAGCATTTTTCACTACACTGCAGTAGAACCTATGCCATTTCACAAGGGAATATTAAAATTAAAGGCCAACCAGTTTGCTACGTATACAAGGGAACATATTTCTTAAAAAAGTATAACTGAGTTAAGCAGATCATATGAAGGAACCAAAGGGAATTACTTCCCACAGTTCTACCATGAACAGACATGTATATCTAGCTATCAAGTAAGGTATGCCCAGGATCATCTCCTCTCTCCCAACTTTTTATTTAATAAACCAGAAGTCTCCAAGGGCATGGCTAGTGTTCTTTACATTCTAAAACTGCAAGGAGCTTTGGTTACCTTCCATGAGTTAAAATTTGACAGATTAGCTCAGAATAGGTGTTGTACTTAATTCTCCAGGACACAAAGTCCAAAAACATCAGTGGGGAAAAAAGCAAGACAAACTTGAACATGACTGCCCCTAGTCAACACAAAAGAGCTCTTATGTGAAATCAAACAGTGGGTTTATTCAGCGTTCCATCACCCAATCCTGCTGGCAAAAACTGTCATGAGACTGAATTCTCACCACGCACAACGTTGCCCCATGATACAGCCAAGGAGGGGTTCCTGGAACTACCCCAACACTGGAACCATGGTGTTATCCATGGGGAGATTTATGCAAATTGTTCTAAATCTCTTCTATGAGCCTGTAAAGGCTCTTCTGAGATCTTTGGACAATGGGTTCTCTGTCTCTTATATGGAACTGCTAGAGTTCACTGACCTGCCACTGTCAGGAATAATTTTATTAACTAATCACTGGAATGGGAGATGTAATCTTCCTGAAACAACTTGGTTGGTCACCTTGATTCCCAAAGACTGGCTGGTAACTCTTTTCACATCAGCTGACTACCTGTAACCAACAACACTATTTTTTCTCATAGACATCTGTAATCTTTTCTCAAAATCCTGCTGGTTAATGTCCTTGCTGTTCAGTAAAGAAGGGAAAAATAAAACTGCTAACCAATTTAACCAAGATTAATGAAATTTCTGACCTCAAAGCTTCAGAAAGGGATTCCCTGGCTTCTAGGTCTCCAAGAAAGGTGGGGGGTGAACACTCCTGGGGGGTGAACACTCCTGGAAGGAAGTGAGACAAGTGCCACTTCTCTTCTCCCTCCCATTTCCCCTCTCTTTTCTTTTTGTGCCATTACTCAGGCCTGAAATCAGGGTTTGGGCATTCTTCCTACTTTTTCACTCAAGGATGGTACCCTATCACTTTCAGCTTTTTGGTGTTTAATTAGAAGTAATTATCTGAAGGACTTTCCTTCCCTGGGCTGTCTTTGAACATATGATCCTGAGATATCAGCCTTCTGAATAACTACACCCAACAACTCTCCCCTTTCAAAGTAGAAAAGTCCTTCCTCCACAGTAAGAGCCCCATTCTGTATACTGGTCCATAAGTAACATTCTTCTGCTAGTACTGAAGCTTGAATTCAGAACCTCTTATGCTCCTTTAGTTTTACTCAAGTCTGGAACTCTAACACTTGAGCCACATCTCCACTTTCAGCATTTTGCTAGTTAACTGGAGATAAGAGTTTCTCTTTTCTATCTAGCCTGGCTTCAAACCTCAATCCTCAGATCTCAGTCTCCTGAATAGCTAAGATTACAGTATGAGCCACTGCACCTAGTTCCATTAGTAATGTTTCTTTTAAAAATACAAGGTATTTTAAGTTGATTTTTCTTTTAAAATAAAAAGAAACGGTCCACAAAACGAACTCTTTGCTCTATCATCCTTTAACAGTTTTCTGCGCCAGGCACTTTGCAAAACCTTCCCCAGGCAGGTACTAGTCCAGAGTGAACACATGCCCTGAATTCCACAGCACAACTCAAAATGTACATTCAGTGCTCCACATCAACTGTGAGGGAAAAACCTGTATTCACTTTAAAACTCACCCAGGGTCTAGGCACTGGAGGAAAGCTCAAGTAAAAAAAAAACAATGCAACCAGTGGCCTATAGAAATCAAGATTCCCAGTTTAGAGTACTAATCCAGTATTGTAATTAAAAGGTTACTTTATCTAAGCTCAAACATGTAATCCTAACTACCCTTGGATGTGGACCTAACAATTCAGCATCTGAGACCCACACTCTTCCCCCCATCTTCCTGTACCGCAGATATTGGACAGTGAAATTATACTTCCAGACTCCCTTGCAGCTACATGACCAGGTGATATCAATTAGATGAAGTGGGGTGAGACTTGAAAGCCAAGATTCAGAAGCTGAAACCACTTTCTGCTGCTTTTGCCAGCAGGTACCACAGATGAAGTGTCTGGTTTTCCTGAGGCACCTTCCCACCCTCATGCATCAGTGGTAGTATGGCCCTCAAGCATCCCCATTAGGCATCCCCCAGTGGTCTACTGACTGCACAGGGAACAGGCCACTGCTCCCATGGTGGTCTACTCTGCTGTGAGGATCTGAAAATTATCCTTGAGAACTCAACCTCAAATCTGTTACTTCACCTTCCCAACACATTCTGTAAGCCATTTAATACCCTGTAATAAATCTCTCTCAGCTTAAACTAGCTAGAGTGGATTCTGTTCTTTACAAGTGAACCTTGACTGATACAATCAGTAATTGCAAAGGAAAGTTTGGAATTCCCTAAAACCACACAGTTCCCATTACCTAAGGGAAAAAAGAAAGAGGTGTCTCATCAAATTTAAGAAAATCATTTTTTATTGAAACCAGTGAGCCACTCATCCCTTATGCTGGTTTCCCTAAGCCCTAATAAATCAATAATAGTAATTATGCAAAAAGTTACTAACATACAAATGAGTATACAGACATGACACCATTTTAAACATTCTTCAAGCCACAACATTTCTGGGTAATCAACCCTCAAAAGTTCATCTCACTCAACAGCTTACTTACAAAGCATCAGATGCCACAAATGTTAAGCCACTGGGTAATTACACAAGCAGGTCATCTCAGGGGTACCGGAGATGTTTATCAGAACAATTTAATAGGTTGTGAGGTATACTGGCTTTAACTCTAGTCTGTTGTAGACAAACATTAAACAACTGTAAAACCCACTATGATTAAAAGTCTGATATTAAGCAGTAGAGTATGACAGTTTCAGAAATGAATGGTGGTGTTTTAGCTGCTTTAAACACACTAGTTTTAGGTTCTGTAGTAGTGTCATTAAAATAAAGCTAAAAGTCCAATAAGTGTTCCCAAGAGTAAAAAACTCACAACACATTTTTGAGTCTGTTCTATAGTAGATGTATTTCTGTTTAAAGTCTCCACTCCTCACAGTGACCCTCAGAGATACTTGCTCCTGCTGGCATGAGCACAGAGAAGCACAAAGAGGACTTAGAGCCATGCAATGCCTGGTGGCCCTGGGCAAGTCAGTTAACATCTCAGAAGTGTATATTTTTCAAGTTTAAATAGGCATATAATAATAAAATCTACTTCAGATTATCCAACAAGTAATTCGAATTTTTTAAAGGACCAATAAGTCTTAAACTGATATATTGGTAATAATATCAGATGTACTTTTTTATTTAAAAAATAGTAAGATGGAAATAATACATGACATTACCAATCACATATATGTTTGGGATGTGAAGAGGTCCATCGTAAACTGAACTTCAAATAAGAAAACAGGATAAGAGAAAAACATTAAGCCGGGTGCAGGTGGCTCATACCTGTAATCCTGGCTACTAAGGAGGCTGAGATCTGATGATCACAGTTCAAAGCCAGCCCTGGCACAAAAGTCCATGAGACTCTCATCTCCAATAAACCACTCAGAAAACTAGAAGTGGTGCTGTGGCTCAAGTGGTAGAGTGCTAGCCTTGAGCTGAAGAGCTGAGGGACAGCACCCAGGCCCAGAGTTCAAGCCCCACGACCAACGGAAAAAAAGGAAAGAATATTATTAAAATGCTATGGAATAACCAGGCACTGGTGGCTCAAGCCTGTAATCCTAGCTACTAGAAGACTGAGATCTGAGGATTGCGGTTCAAAGCCAGCCTGAGCAGGAGACTCTTATCTCCAATTAACCAATAGAAAACCAGAAGTGGCACTGTGGCTCAAGTGGTAGAGCATCCTTGAGCTGAAGAGCTCAGGGACAAAACTCAGGCCCAGAGTTCAAGTCCCACAACTAACAACAACAACAAAAAAAGAAGTAAAGAAAAGAAAATGAACATCATTTCATCAGGAAAATTAAATAATTAGCTAAACCCAAGGTTCTACCAGTGTTGCCCAAAACTACCACAGAATGACTTGGTAAAAAGTTCACCTTGATTCCTGTAACATGGTTGTTTATCAGGCAAATTGAAATGAAAACCTCACATAATCCTATTTTGTCAGGTTGCTCTCTTCCTAATCAAAATCTCATCTGTAGGCATCTGGTTAGCCGAGCCAAAGTCATTAGTTTGTGTTCTAACATGCAAAATAAGCTGGGAATTGAGTTTGGGGTAGGGAGCGTGGGGTAGGGTGGGGAGAATAAACCTGTTAATAAAATAAAACCCAGGTCAGAGGATGGTAGGTTGCTGAAACCATCAAAATGACCCTACCTACACCTATACCTGTGTAACCTCCATCTATTTATTTATTTATTTTTAATTTTTGCCAGTCCTGGGGCTTGATCCTGGGTACTGACCCTGAGTCATTCTGTTCTCAAGGCTAGTGCTCTGCCACTTGAGCCACAGCACCATTTCTGTCTTTTTCTGTATGTGGTACTGAGGAATCAAACCCAGGGCTTCATACATATCAGGTAAGCACTCTACCTCTAAGCCACATTCTAAGCCACATCCATTTCTTTCTATACAACCCTTAAAGCGGGTAAGATCCTTTTCCTTGACTATGGAGACAACTGAAGATCAAATACAGGTTGATCTATTAACCATACCTTTTCTACAAGGTCACAGCCCCAGGTCACATTCTTAGACCAGATTTCTCAATCTTGATGGTAGGGTACAACGATCACTCTTTGTTGCAATATCCAGTGCAGTGGACATTGAGCAGCACCCTTGCTCTCTACCCACTAGACACCAGTAGCCAGCTACCCCACACCAAACTATGATAATCAAAAAGTCCCCAGACACTGCTAAATATCCCCTTAGGGGAAAATATCTGTCCCATTCCCAGGTATCAACTGTATTGGCTGGTGATGCTCCATGCATACAGCAGCACCTGCTATGGGAAGGCTGCAGTGTACCAGTCTCCCTGCCAGCCACTGAGGAGACTATGCCAAATAAGCTACTTCCCCTGTCCCAAGGGGAAATAACAGTTACCAACAACTGGCTGGT